GCTCGCTTGCCTCATTGACCTGAGCCCTTGGTTGGGCTGGACAGCCCAGGCTCTTGTCTCTTATGTTCACCCTTGTCCTAGCCACTTCTTCCTGCTCTCTGGCCTCAAGCTCTGGGTTCCCCTGGTACGGGGCGATGGGAGGGTGCGGGCCCGATCGGGCCCGCATGTCACGCGTCACACCGCGCAGTCACGCGGTGTCTAGGAGCCACAGCGACTTGTTTCTCCAGGAAAGGAGATATGTCGCCCCTTGGACTGGCAACCCTTCTCAAGCGCTCCAGGGGTCTCGGGCCCGCAGCCCCTGTTGCGGGGCGACTCCCCTCGACCCCCCGAACCGTCGGGCGTGACCGCGTTACGTCACGCCCCGCCCGAACGGCTTGTTCAACTGGCCCAGCCTATGCCTTGCCCTATGCCTTGGGCACCAACTCTACTAGGCAGCACTCTTTGGCTATGGACTCGTTCCCTTCAGCAGGGGTAGGACACTCTAGACGACTACTCGTATCCTGTGACACCGCTGTCACACAACGTGACAGCGGGGCGTCTCGAGTCGCCCCGAGCTGTCCCTACCCTGCTCTCTATTGCAGCAGTGGCACCATCTACGCTGCGTGGCTGCCGACCACCCAGCTATGGGGGTTGAACCATCTTTCCCACACTTGTCAGACTGGCAGGAGACCGTCACGTGGGCCCGGGCCGGCCCTGTTCCTGACACGACCACGCTTGATAGTCGTGTTCTTGACGATGCCTACCACTTCATGGACCGTCTCCTTCGCCTCCTCTCCAAGAAGCATCCTGCATTCAAGGAGTTTTCCCATCTTTTCAGCGAAACGATTTTTATTCGTGACGCGGAGGACAAGGCCAAGGTCTGAGCCATCCTGGAGCAAAAGGGCATTCGGTGGGAGTATGCGATACGAGCTCGGAAGGATTCACTCAACCGCAGAATCCGTCGGTATATCGCCTGCCCCGAGAAGCTCGTTCAGGATCTTTTGCTGCTATTCACCTGTTTCCAGGACCTCCGAGATGCCGATGGCAAAAAGTTCTTCTCTAAAGAAGCTCGAAAGCAGGCTGCTGCCCTTGTCGAAACTACTCGACTCGGATTCCTCTCGGACCCAGCTGGCCTTGCCCTTTACTTAGTCGGTTGCGACAAGAATGGTCTGAATCTCTATCGCACTATTCGTGGCACCAACTCGGTCGAGGGTGGGGTCCACAAGCAGATTCGGCGCATCTTTGGCTCCCTCCATGCATCGTTGGCCCTAACAGAGGCGATCTTGGCAAACTGGTTCCATCGGCGTAATCGTCGGGTATGATCTAGTTTTTCTGCTGGGTACTTCCAGTTTTCTGATATACATCTGCAGATTGGACACTATAACCGTACTGGCTCAAGGTGGAACAACCACTTTGACCTGTGGTTACTTGACGAGATCACCGAGACCGCGATCAAGTTGGACACAACGACCACCTTTTCGACTCCCTCCCTCCTTGCAACTCGAATTGCAACCTCCGAGTCGTTTGGTGTTATTCCGCTCACAAACGAACTTGCCGTCGACTACGAGATCCTCATAGTCCCATTCCCGGACATCGTCGCCCGCCCACACCATCATGACACTCCTCGCTCTTCCCTTGTGCGCTTTGTTACAAAGCCGGTCAACCTCTACCACTACATCCAGCTCCGCCAACGCACAACAACTCCTGTGGTGCCCGTTCACACACGCCGGGAGTTTGAATTCTTCCAGGCAAACATTGCCTCATTCATCCCGCTCAATGCTCACACATCTCCCGACAACATCCATAAAGTCACCAAATATGTGGACTTGGCCTGTTTCTGGAATCGCCAGGTTGTTGCGCAATCACCTGCCGAGTTGGACTCGACAAAGCGGCTCTACTTCAAGCTCCCTGAGCAGCTCGAACGGCACCACAAAAAGTCGGTGCAGTGGCGACAGACTCGCGCGACACTCAACATGGGCGAGAACGTCACTGCACTTGAGCCCATCCACCAACTTGTCCGCGACCCCGCTCGCAAGGCCATTGTCCTCCCGCCCATCATGCACGAATCAGTTGAGGTCGACTATGCCGCAGATCGTGCGTCCTTCTTTTCTGTTCGGAAATTGTCTGCTCACACTCATAAACAGCACTTGTCGGGATGGATGTGTGCTCCTTCAACCCAACCGAGATGCGGCGCCGCCAGGACACACAGCGGGCACTCAACGCTGCCATCACTGCAGCTCCCGGACTCGAACCACCTCCGATTGAGCTGGCCGGACCACAAGTGCCGCTGCCTGAGTTGCATCAGACCGTGTTGGCATTCACGCCAGCCGGAGGCAACGGAGACTACCAGCTTATGGAGGTCGCCCGGCCTGCCAAGAAGGCACGCTTGAATGCGCCTGCGGTGGTCCAGAAGAAATGAGGCGGGCAGCGATGCGCACTCTGTGCGCACGCAAAATGTCCCGAAGCGTTGACATGCAAGGGCAAGGGCGGACGGCTGAAATGTGAGCACAAAACACGGGATGATCATAGTGAGCTCGGTTTTGAGGAGCTCACACGCGGGCGGCACCGGGATAAGGTGTAAAAAAACTCATATTTGCTCGTAAATAGTGTACATGCTGTCAAAGCCGCATTAGTGAGGAATCTGAGTTCAAGCAACCCAACGAACCTAATAAGTGTGAAGGGCTTGAGTCGCCCATGCTGATGCGGTTCCCGTGGCATCGAGCGAGCTTGCGGAAAGTCGTGTTCGCAGAAAATCTGCGAAAAAGTCGCGTGCACGTGACTTTCCCGCAGATTCTCTGCACGACGCGAATTGCGGCAGCACAGTGAGCATAGCTGGCTCAAAAACATCAGAAATATGCATGATAAATAAGTTGGAAATGTACCTTCTAGTTCATGGCTCGTGGATTCCCCAAATTCATGCGTTAAAATTTGTGGTGAGCGGGAGCGGGAATCGAGGTGATGAGGGTCGGCGGAGACGAGTGCAGTCTCTTGGGCTGACTGTGCACATGGTACAGGCTCCCCAAGTCCTCCATTCATCCGCTTGTGCTCTGCGCCGCAGCGCGACACCACCAGGACACACGACAAGGCGTGAGGCGGGTGCCGGTTCGCGAATCGGATGCGGGGTCTTGGCGCGCATGGCCCGGCGCGGCATGGGGGCTTTGGATAGAGTGTTGTCGGGTTGGGAGGAGTGTGGGTGTGGTGTCGGGGCAGGCGCGAGACAGAGGGTGTCGCCAATCGAGCCCAATGTAGCGCGGTTTATACCGCAGTTAGTCGTTTGAGGCCAGGCCGGCCGCCCAGGCTTGTCGGCTTGGCCGTTCGTGGCAGCGCTGACGGTGTGGCCCGAGGCAGGAGGCAGGAAGAGGCAGCTTGGACGGCTGTTGTTGCGCAGACCCAGCGAGTGAGCAGGCAGTTGGTGCTGTCGGCGAGTGAGCACGATTCGCAGACAGCACGAAGAAGGGCAATGCACCTTGAGGAGTTTCATCCCAGTGCGTGCCCGTGCCGGCTGGGGGCCTTGTTTCCCACTCCCAATCCTCGAAACCCCAGCTCGAGTGTGGCTGTCGCGGGTCGGCGGCGGACGCCGAGAAGATGGTGGAGATGAGGGCGGGCAGAGGGCTGAGGAGTTGAGCACAAGCTCACGTCGGACGGTAACTGCGTCCGACGTGAGCGTTGCGAGCAAACGCTCGATTCGCGGCGTTGCGCTGGGTCACAACGCCGTAACACCGGCTCGGATCCTGTCGGGCGGCCTCGTGTCGCAAAGTCCGACTCGGAGGTGAGCTATTCATATCTTGATTTTCATTGGCTGGGGCTTAACTCTTTCGGGCAGTCGTCCCCATTTGCGATAACTTGATATCCGGCCATCAGCCCGCCAACCCGCCAGCTTGATATCCGGCGCTCTTCGTGATTTTTTACGCGTCTCGGGCCATGATCAAGCAGGGAAACTGGTGCATTGGATTGGCAAGGTATGCTACAATATTCCTCCCTTTTCTCTCTTTTCTCTCTCTTTTCCCTCTTGAAAAACTTGATATTCTTGACCCCGACAACTGACAATATGATATCTGGATGCGGCTTGACAGCCACATACTGGGGGGAAGCTCGCGCTTGTCAGCGAGGCGACCGCTCCGCGGTCGCTTACCAATCGCTTTGTAAGCGGTGTCGCCTTTTTGTAATTTGCGGCGCTGGGGGGATTTGACACGTGAATGGGGAAGCAAGCTTCCCCATAAGCCATAAGCCCAATTCGACATCTCGTGCGCCACGTTATGTAAAATGTGACGAGTCGGCGTGTCGTGTGATACTGAGAGTTGTGGCGCAACTCTCAACCAGCAACACCCGTCATTCCGACTGTCGCTGACCGACCAGCGCGCACCAACACCCGCACAGTCATCTCCTACGTCCGCCACACCGTCCCGAATCCCTCATGGGAACACCAGAGCCGCCAGATGAGATCCCGGCTCAACGCTCGGAGTAACTTCGATTCCCTGTAATTCCCCCGTCGACATCATGGTTCGAGGCAGTAGAAGATCGGGAAATTTCTTTGTGCCCATGCGCTGTCTCCTTGAATCTTTATGACCAACTGGTATGTGTTTCTCCTTGTATCCTTTCCTCGGCGGCTACTTACTAGTATTTAGGGTTGATACAGCACTCAAGCTTGACTGGACGCTAGCCCCCCCTGGAGCTCCGTATTCCGTGTACAACGATCAGTCGAATCCATCTCTGCCAGCAGAAGGCGTCAACTTCCGAGATGGATAGTTCCCAAGTGATGAATACTCAATCACTGACCCATTCGACCCGGTCAGAGATTCTGTTGCGACCTCCTTCGTCAATTCATAGAAACCTGGACGGCGGGCGCAAATCCCACTCCTCTGTTCTATTTTCGCTCGCTGTATAATGAATATACATTCGCTTCGTTGCATGACTGGGCGGTTTTGACTCTCTCTCTCTGGCGTTCCATCCTTCTTTCCCCTCCCGCCCCCCATTCCCTTCGTCCTCTTCGTCTGTCTGGCTTTTCGCTTGAACGGACGGTGATGGCAAAGCGCCACCCATACCGCTCCCTCCTCCATGCACTCTTTTTGATCCTCCAACTCGGCTCCCTTCAAGTTTCATGGGCCAACCCAAACCCAGCGCCGTGGGGTAGACCCGGCGGTGGCATGGGCGAAGGTCCCGGTGGTGGCTGGGATGTGTTCCCCTTCACGCGGACATTCACGGACCGCTGGGGACATGTTACCATCTCGACTGGTACGACCAGCACCACCAAAGCGGCTAACCCGCCGCCGACTACACATGCCGCTGACCCGACTACGAATAAGTGAGTCAAATAACCTGATTCAGGTCGTTTTATTCATTGATCCAGCAACCCGGCGGACCCGGCCCCGACAAAAGCCCCAGCAAATCCCCAATCAAATGCACCAGAGAACTCGAAACCTACATCGGTAAACGCAGGCCCCGGCGGGAGCTCTGACGTGTTTTCGAGTTTGTCACTGCCATGGCATCCGCAAGGAAAGTCGTCTTCAACGACCGTCGTTTCCAAACCGTCCAACATCGTCCTTCCAGCCTCCAGCAGCAAGGGGGCACCGGTCGCGTCTCCCCCCACCAGCAGCGGTACATCTTCGCAAAGTCAAGACCAGACTCCATCTACTGCTTCGTCACGCAATCACACCCCCGTCGCCGCGATTGTTGTCCCGCTCCTCTTTGCCATAACAGTGCTCGGTATCGTGGCAACGCTGTGCTACCGCCGCCGTCGTGCCAGAGCTAATCAGAAGAAGTGGGAAGGAAGCCGTCTTCCTGAGATAGATGAACAGCCATCAAGGGTGTCGAGGATCTCGAGTCTATTCGCCTTGGGTGCGACGCGGAACGGGCAAGGGACGCAAAGAAACACCTTGTATGGACAGGAGTGGAAACGGCTGCAGAGTCCGAGCCCGGGAGTTATGGTGATCCAGCCGCAGACGTCGACGCCAACGCGATCGGACATGGACGTGGAAAGTGTTGCCGAGGGACCCGGCCCGGATTTGTCCGAGTTCCCGCCCACGCCATCTTCGACGCGCCAGTTGCTCTCGCCGCAACCTCATTCTACGCGGTCATCCACACAGACTAGCGGTAGTGTTCTGGTTAATCCGAGTACCTCCGTTCATAACCCTGCCTATGCCGGCGTCGTTGATCCTGAACCAAACATGGAAATCGACCTTGGTTATGCAGCACCACATGGAATTCGCCACTCCGCGATATCTCAAACCTCGACCGTCGTCGACGATGTTGACGGGTCCTCTTTGTACCTCCCTACACCGTTCCTCCTCTCCAACCTCGCACACCGCCCGCCCTCCGCGATGCACTCCGACATCTCCACCATCGACGGCGCGCGGGAGGACGCGGCATCGCGCGCCGGGACGCACGAGTCCGATCCGTTCGGTGATGGGCACGCGGCCCTCAGCCCGGGCTCGGTCTCCGTTTACAGCTCCGAGGTCGGGCACGACAGTGTCGCCGCCGGCGTGCACTCGCGCTCCCCGCTGCACGCGCAAGACGAGCCTGCGCTGGCCGAGTCGCATTCCCGTCCCACGACCATTTCGGTGACGCCGCCCACGGTCCGGCCACTGCCTGTTCCCGCGGTCCCGCCCATGTATACACAGAACGCGCCAGCCGCTGCGAGTGGGAAGATGTATTGAGAATGTAATTTATTGCTGATGTAAATAAGAAGTTCTCCAAGTGGACAAGTATCCAATTGACGCATATGCGGCAGTTCCGTTGATGCTGAGTTTGAGCGATTTGGTTAAATACGTGCGTTGTAGAAAACATTCCTGAATGATGACTCGGACATTACCACTATTTATGCTTGCAGTGGGAATCGGTGTGTACTTATTATACACTCTAGCCATCAAAGAAAATGAAATGATCTTAAATCTGATGTATCACCACCAACCCGCCATGACATTTTGCTGATGTCATCCCGGAACATTGCCTGATGTTAGGTCATGATGTTAGTAATGAATTCGCATGATGTCAAAACGAAATTGGATGTGCTTATCTTCCTGACATAGGGCTGACAACGTACATCCTCTGGATATCCTGACCTTGACAAGGGTCTGAGATCATCCTGACAATTTTTTCTGGGGGGCTTTCCCACTTGCAGCAGATGGTGCACACACTTCAAGAGAGGGGCCAAGGCTATATTGTAGTAGCTATGTACAATCACTGCCAGTATATCCCACTATAAACTACCACTCCTTCAGCCGCTTGTCCTTCATGGGCCTGGGATCCAGCAGTCCAAGCTGACAATGTGTTGTGGTGGTTCTCGTGTTGCCCGACCGTGCCGAGTTGTCGCGTGGGGAAGGAGGAGGGGGAGGGAAGTTGTCTTGCCGCATTCAAGGCTGGAAGCTGCACAGTGAAGTCAGTTTGGATGCAGCGAGGGAGTCGAGGAGACTGACTGCAAGTCCGACATCTCCAATACCCCCAGCCAGCACGCCACCGCCGTTCCCACCGCATCCGTCGTCATTATTGAAGGTGAGCTTGTCGGCGCGGTCGTTGAGAGAGAGAGAGCCTGTTCTTGGTAAGCATGAATTTGGAATCTATCAACAGTCCACTTTCCTGTTGGCAGCCAATTTCGGGCTCTGCAGCAAGCAAGCTGAAGGCTGCCCATCGCTTTGACCCCCCCTTGTTGTCGTCCGCAACTAATCCTTCACGTCTCGGTTCCGGGAGCCATATAATCATGCTGCGCGTCTGTCTCCCCATCAGCTTCTTCACCAAAACTCAAACAGGACACGCACCAAAATAAGCACTATTCCCTCCCCTCACAGGGTCAAAACGCACCCCGGAGCCGGTCGCTCAGTCGTCACGCGGCAGCTGCGTTGAGGCAGAGGGGCCCGGAAACCACAGCGCCCGTGGTATGGACAGCAACAGCCAGCGCGCCGATACATGGGGCCAGATGCCAGCCCTGGGATAATGAGGAATGGAGAGCCGCCTTTGTGCGGGGGTGAGGATATATATATGAAAAGACAGAAGAAGAACACTTACGAGGAGACGTGTTGCTGTGCAACGACCAACATGGGGAGGGAAGGGAAGAGAGAGTCAGGTGTGACTGGGCGAAAATTTTCGCTCTCATGGAAGTTTGATGATCTGATTTGGTTCTCAGCGCCAGGTGCCTTGTGTGTAAGCCTGGGAGCCTTACCTACATTCCTCCGTCACATTAGCACTGCCTTTTTAGTCACTCACCTCTGTCCTCCATTGTTGTTCCAGAATATAGCAGGATTCTGTTGTGTTTCTGTGTGTTCCTCAGTGTTTCTGGGCTAGACCACCCAGTTTCCACTTTTTTCACAACCCACTACCTGTTTTCCTGGCTTTAAATCGAAAAACTACGTCCCTACGAGCATCCCTGGTCCATTCGGCGCCTTCCCGGCCTTCCCGGACCTCCCCCGACGCACCCGGCGGCTTTCCCGACCTCCCGACGGCCTCGCCGAGCTTCTTCGGCCGATCTGGGGCTTGGCGAGCTAAGCGACGTCGTCGCGGCGATTGCGCGCAAAGCCTCGCGGCGGATTCCCACGTCCTGTCACGCGCGTTCCCACCTCTCTCTCGCCACGTAGCACCCTTCCCGCCTCTCCGCGCGCCTCCCTCGTCTCAACCCCGCCCCCAACCCACCCATCTTCACTCCCTCTTGCCCCCACTGGCGCCCAATCTGCGGAGAACAACAACTGGGGCGCCATCTAACGCCGTCGTCGCGCCCAGCCTCTGCACAAAGACAACGACACCGGTCCGGCCCTTTGACCGACGTGGCCGAGTCCCCGGCTGTACCTGACGACCATTTTGGGCCCCGTTCACCGTCTCACACCTGCTCTCGTTCGGCTGACACGTCCCGCTCGGCGCGCTCTCGCCGACTGTCCTCGCTCGCCATCGCCGTCTCGCTCGCCGTCTCGTGTGCGCTCTCGTTCGCCTACTGGATCTGTCTTACGTTCGCCGCTCGCCGAGCCCGTTCCCCGTCACCAGACCCCTCCTCATCTCTTCGCTCCCACTGTCCCCGTTCCACATAAAACATCCACCCGCGCGCCTCGTATGACCAAGCTCACGTTCCCCGCATTCACGGAGAAGCCAACACCGCTCTCGGTCCGCAGCTGGGTTGGCCGCTGTCAAGACGAGCACGCTACATGGGCTGTCTGGAACCCCGATCTCAAGCTTACAGCGGCTACGTTGATTACGCTGGCCGGCAAGCAGTTGGAGGAAGAGTCGCTCGCAGAATGGTGGGATACCAACCGCGAGGACTTGCAGCACCTGAAGTCTTGGGACGACTTCACGAATGCCTTACGCGACAAATTCGTGGCCCCGACTTGGCGGATGGATGCAATGCTTGAAGTCTACAGTGTCAAGCAGGGTGATGACACGTTCAAAGGTTTCATCGAACGTTTCGAGCATGCCAACCGAGTTCTGAATGCAGCTGGTCCCGAGTGGAAACTTTCCGACACCATTGTCAAGTATCATGTGCTCGCCTTTTCGCACCCCATCCTTTGCACAAATACCAAGATTTCGCCTGGCTTCAACCTTCATTCCATTTGCTACAATACACTCGTCAGCCTGATGACTGGTCTCTGGGACGCGGCCATCCTCAATGGCTCAATTCGACTCCGCGCGGCTCCTTCCTTTTCGATCCCTTCCCGTTCCACCGCTCCCTTGGCTCCCGCTCCTGCTTCTCTCTTGTCATCCGTCCCACCGCTCACCCAAGCCGACCGTGATCGTATCAGCGCTGCAGGCGGGTGCTTCAACTGCCGCTTGACGCCTACCGACAAGGATTGGGTCCCGCATCGCAAACATGAATGCAAGGGGAACTTGGCACTTGGTATTCCTGCTTATGTTGCCCGTGTTCCCGTTGCGGCTGCTGTGATATGGAGTGGTTCGGATATGGACTCTGATAGTGAATGGGAGCGCTGTTTGGTAACACCGGGCATTTATCCGGGAGCATCTCGTCGTGTGGCTGGTATCAGGCCTCGTTTCCCTATCGACAATGTTTTTGACTCCGATGACGATGACGACTCCGATGACGATGACGACCTCGCAACTTCGTGATGACTAGCAGGATTTTGGCCTCATTTCCTTATCTTATCCCCACTTTAATCGCCTTCTTCATTCGGGTCTACTCGCATGTTCCCATTGGGGCGTTCTGGACTATGCCGCTCGGTGTACGGTTCTTACAAGGGGGTTCCCTGTATCGGCCCTATATCCTGTCGTCTGCTCAGGGCGGACTTTTCGGTCTTGCAACTTGTTGGTTCTTCTCCCTTTTTTGTCCTGTCTCTCCTCATGGATTGGGTCTTGTTCTAAGTGGGGGGAGGGTGTAAGCCTGGGAGCCTTACCTACATTCCTCCGTCACATTAGCACTGCCTTTTTAGTCACTCACCTCTGTCCTCCATTGTTGTTCCAGAATATAGCAGGATTCTGTTGTGTTTCTGTGTGTTCCTCAGTGTTTCTGGGCTAGACCACCCAGTTTCCATTGTGCATCAGTCATCTTCCGGACATCGAGGGAAAATGTTACCAGAAATTGTTACGCCGTGATGTGCCACATACAGTTCCGGGATATCGATCTGATATTCTGTGTCCGATGGCAGAATAATCACAGGCGAGCATCCTGCCGACACCAGTGGCTTCATCCTGCTGATGTCGGGGCTTGACATCAGCCTAGTGTGCTGACGGGTTGGTGGTGTAGTGCTCACTATGATAACCCTGGTACAAACTAGTAGGGCTGTAAGCAATAATTTCTGGTCTCAGTGTGAGTTCCGACTCCATCATAGTTATAATATAAATGGCAAGGCTTATCTTACTGTAGCTCAACTGGGACCCTTGATATTTGTTATCTTTTCCACTGCCCTAGCCATTACCATGATCATCATTGCATACATGTACTACATTGCAGCATGGTATATAAATCAATGACACTGCAGGTGGTGATTAACAGAAAAACTATAAGTTATGTGCAAGTATTCCTCATCAGAGTCATCACAGCCTTGAAAAACTTTGTAGAAACAAGATTGAACTATCAAGAGATGTTTGTCCTCCATCAGTGATCACAATCATTTCATGCCACACATATTGTTTTAAAAGAATTCTCCATTTCAATTTCTTCTGCCATAAGCACTAGCCGACCTTCGGCGCACGCAGCCGCAGGTGGAGACCTTGCTTCATTATCAAATTCTGTGTAAAGGCTGGGGCCCAGCTGAGGCTTGGCATGCCAGGCATGAGCTGGAGCTTCAAAACTAATTCAAAAGATTCTCGGAGAAGCGGGCCGGGAGGATGCAGGCTTTCATACTAGTCATGGTGTGACTTGTTTGTTCATGTTTGTTCCTGACGTTTACACTTGTTTGGCTGATGGAATTTCAACCGGATGGGACCTTGTGAAGCAAGGTAAAAATAAGAGAATCATCCACATTTGATTTACATATAGTTGAGTACATTGTCACACCAATAAATAACCTTCAGTAAAAAAAAATATTCAACTGGATCAAAGTAAATTGATTGGCATGATATACTTATAGATTCTTTGAAACACCTATTGTTGGTTCAAAAGTCTTGCCAATATTGCCTCAATCCTTTCAGAAACTGGTTCCAGTGCTTCTTTAAGTGTTGCAACAGCAGTTTCAATCTGTATAAGCCTGTGTCCAAAGGCTTCCAGCTTCTTGTCCATTGGGGAAGC